TATATATATTGACCAGTAAGTGCAGTTGACCAGTAAGAGAGGACCTGACCCAAAAAGGACCGCCCTCCTTATTTACATAATGAGGCAGAAATGCAAAAGGTAAAGTAAAAACAGGACAAAGAATTGTAAAACCAGAACATGGAAATAAAAAGACTTGTGGGAAAGAAATATAAAAAAAATAATTAAATATAATCATTTAGGGAGACACAAATGCATCTACAAATTAAAGGAAAAACAAAAAAACTATATATTTTAAAACAGTAAAATGTAAATTATGTGATAACACACACAATTTATTGGAACTAAGCTAGGTCAATTACAGTAAATGATCAAACAAGAGGTAAAGCTCTTATTTTTTTATTTAACTGGTGCATCGTAAATGTATTTATTTATTTATTGGTCCATTTCTTTCTAATGATGTCAGTTTCGGTCCTCCATACACCTTTCCTCCAGATACTCAAACACGCTCCTCAGTCTCCCTTCCACATGCACCACTGAACCCACTCAGTCGGCTTTTCATCGGACTTTAATTTTCAGCCGTGATCGACCACATTTCAACACCGGCCCACTGCCTCTCCCCATTTTATAAGCATGTGGAAAAAGTCAACCAGGCTCTGAAGCGGCAAGTGGGGGAAACTAATCAACGTGGCGTTAATTAATGATAGTGGAAAGGCCTTTTACTGACTCGGGGTTTTAGGGGAGTATTTTTTAAAAGTGGAGTGAAGATACCTGGAATTAGGGACGTCTTTGGAGGTAACTCACAGAGTGTAAAGCTAAAAACAGTCCAGCCTTGGAATTGGAAAAGATCGTCAATGATTTATTATGTACTTGGGTTTGTTTCTGTAGGTGCAGCTCTATGGAACCATTGATTATTGTTGGCCAGTAGTTGGTTGTTAGTTCAGAAGTTCAGAAGTGAAAAAAAAAACAAACTGAACAGAGTTGTTTTCTTTGGCACTGTGCATGTGTTGCGATATTGATATGTTCACTGGTGAGAAGAAGAACTACCTTCAACTTAGGAAAGTTAACAGTAAGAAATCATGGAAGAGTCTGAGTGATYAATGATGAAATCTGTAAACTGCACATTTTTACCCAGAAATGGTCATTGTACATATAAGTCAACTAACACGACTATTATTTGGCCTTATGCTAACAGATTATTATAAAACAATTTTTTTGAACCTCAAAAAAKCCTGAACAACTGAATCTGTGAGRCGTTCAGTTAATTRGTGTCTGGTRTCTWTATCTGACACAACACGGGCCAAAAYCACTTTCTAATAAAAATGTGTCACATTCGTTGGACATTTTGATTCTGTATTTATTCATACATGATGTATTCATACATGAAGCACACAAAATCTAACTCCAGGTATTTTGAGGAAATCAGAGAGTTATAATTAACCAATCAAGTTTATTTGTATTGCACATTTCAGCAACAAGGCAGTTCAAACTGCTTTACATCATAAAAACAAAATTATTAATCATAAAATCTCTCTCAAATGTTTTACCGACCTTCCCTATTTTTAACTGTACACAATATATTTTATTACTTACTGTGTACACATCCCTGTGGTAATGTGAATGTTTTCTGTAAGTACATTTGAGAGTCCCTTAAGGATAAAGCCCTGCACCAGTAGGTGCCTGTGAAAACCAGGTACCAGTACTAAGTAGTTACTAGGTATGTACATACACTGTAAAAATGTGATGCATACTGACACTTACCAGGTAAGTACCAGGTATATATCCTGTACCTACCCTACCAGACTGCATTATGTAGGTACTGGGATGTGTACAGTAACTGATACTTACCAGTTAAGTACCAGGTACAGAATCAGTGCCTAAGAGACTACAGTATGTAGGTACTTGATGTTTACAGCAAGTAGCAGGTACATATCCAGTACCTACAAGACTGCATTATGTAAGTCCTTGATGTGTACAGTAACTGATACCTACCAGATAAGTACCAGGTACATATCCAGTACCTACCTACATGACTGTATTAGACAGGTACTTAATGTGTACAGTAACTGATACTTACCAGGTAAGTATCAGTTACTGTACACATTAACTGATATTTACCAGGTAAGTACCAGATACATATCATGAACCGCCAAGACTGCATTATATAGGTAATTGATGTGTACAGTAATTGACACTCACCAGTTAAGTACCAGCTATATAATCAGTACCTACCAGACTACATTATGTAGGTACTTGATTTTTACAGTAAGTACTAGGTACATTTCCAGTACCTACAAGACTGCATTATGCAGATTCTTGATGTGTACAGTAACTGATACTTACCAGGTAAGTACCAGRTACATTTCCAGTACTGCCAAGACTGCATTACGCAGGTACTTGATGTGTACAGTAACTGATAMCTAAGTAAGTACCAGGTACATATCCAGTATCGACAAGACTGCATTATGTGGGTACTTGATGTGTACAATAACTGATACCTAAGTAAGTACCAGGTACATATCCAGTACCTACAAGACTGCATTATGTAGGTACTTGATGTGTACAGTAACTGATACCTACCAGGTAAGTACCAGGTACATATCCAGTACCAGACTCTGTTGTGTATTGTACTGTATTATCTTCAGATTCTGTTCTGTATTTATTTGTTATGCACAAAATCTGAAGATTAAGASGTCTCTATAACAGCCTGCATAGATGGATTAGGAAGAGAATACACTCCTCAGTAAGATTATTATGTAATTCAATATATTTTACTTTACTGAAAAAAAAAACAGTTTGTTATAAATGTGGGTAAAACTTACCTCTTATTGTCAAATATAAATTGATGACTATGCAAAAATTTCGCATCCCCCCACAATGACCCTACCAGCTAAACTTTCCGTGGCCACAGTGAGTACACACTGACAGTTTGTCTATTCCATTGTTTRAGAACAATGGGTCACCTTGCCCTCCCTGATTGCAAAATTCCTTTGGGAGCTATGATGTAATGACAGTTTCTGATGCAGGCACGCTGACCAGTATTTTACTTTTGGTCTTTTATTGTTTTTTTCTCTCATGCCATTTCTTTTTTCTTTTTCTCTCTTTCAAACCCCACTTTTATTTTTTTTATTTGAAAAACTTTTTTTTTTGCACTCCCCATCTTAGCTGAACCCCTTCCCCCTTTTTTTATCCTTTACCTTGCGTTCCCTTGAACTTCCCCACCAACCCTTTGCCTTTGCTCGTTTCCCCTGGCGATGTCGCTTACAACCACCTCCCGTCTTCTTATTCCCCCATCTCCTTGTTAGGGGCAGGCTCAGGTGGCTGGGTGAGGCTGAGATGGATGAGGTGTCGGCCAAAACGTCGACCCAACAGCATCCTCAAAGAGCGGCACCAACAGCCGACATCCCACTGGCCTGTCAAGTACAACTGAGTCCAGTGACAGGTATGTTCTGCAGTCCCTGGGCTTCAGAGAGCGTTGCTTTTGTATTCTGAGAGAATTGTACAGGATGGAAATCACAACGGGCCATTGGGGTGGATAAGGAAAAAGAAAATCTTTGAACTTGAAATGTGAGTTTTGAAGAAAGTTGACTGGCTGTTTAGGTTTGTTGATTGCGGGAGGTCTAAATAACAACTGGTGTGAGTCTTGACCATGTGACCATATGACCGTTTCTTTTCACAAGTAAGAAGATTTAATCTTCTTTACCTCAATGTGAATGTGATCTGACCAGAATTAAGCTAATATTGTAACAGTTTCAAATTAAAATAAGTTCATAAAGCTGATGGAATCACTGATAATTACTGAATTGTTTAGCAGATATTAGCTTATAGCATACATTGTTTTACATCGTGTAGCTCTCTGCTGAATCATGCTACAATTAAATTCAAATTAATAAATATTTTCAAAGTTTTAATTGGTAAATATTTATTATATTTATTAATGACAGATAAGAAATWAAAGTATATGCTTTATTACTTGAAATCAAATTTTTTCAACTAGATATAAAGTCTAAGTCCTTCACCAACTGATCTGATTTAAATCACTGTATAATTAGATATTTTTATTGTATATATCTACCTATTTTACATGATTGTTGAATGAAATAACATAACTTAAAAATATAATAATTTATTGTAAAGAAAAATACAAAAAAAATTGTGACAGATCCAGTTATTGCTATGACGGCCTAGCCTGGTGAAAACCAGACCCTGTCCTTCCCTTTGCTTTGTACAAGGGTCTGGACTCGCTGCACAGAGAAGCGATTCTTGCAGGAGGCGTGGCCTCTGCTGAAGCGTGTGTGTTGTCGCTGGGAAGGAGGCTAAGCTAAGCAGCTAGCCAGAAATCGCGTGTGCTGTAAACAACCCTACTGAGAGGAGAAAAGTACCGAGCCGAACGAGACGACTGTAAATGAGAGCTGCTGCTTTGTCAGACAAATTTAATTTAATTTAATTTGGAAGCCTTATCAACACGGACTGGCTTCATTCACTTCCTCCACTGCCGTATGCTAAAATAACCTTCAGACACTGCGCAGAAAGTTAACTTCGTTCAAAACTCCGCCTTCTGTTTGCTGATTGGCCCAGGTAAAATAAACTACAAGCAGACACTGCGCAGAAAATCGACGTTCTGTTCTCTGATTGGTTCGGCTAAAAATCTGTCAGCGAAATCCTCGTCTATGGGAGAAGTCCCAGACGGAGCAGAGAAGCGAAACTAAAATTGAGTGAAACTGCGTAGGAAGGCAAGGGCCAGGCTAATGACGGCTATGAGCCGACATACTTTTTGCTCCATGCTATCAGAGATGCTAACAGTGGACGGGACAGGCAGGGCTCACTCTATAGGGTTATTTATCTCTTGGAYTGTATGTCACTTCTTTGTTCTAGAATAGACTACTAGTGCATAAAAAGCGAATTACTTTTGTATTTCTATAAAAGTGTGAAATGTACATTTCTCTTTGTCAAGATTTATCTTATCCGAACAATCTTAGTGCACTCTTTGTACGTTTTGTTTTCAAGAATGGAGACAATTACCATGAAAGAAATCAATGTTGTGTTTTTTTTTTTTTTACTCTCAGCTTCAAAGTGTTCAGAAGGATAGAATAAAAAGAGTAATGTAAAAGTTTTTGGACTTTTTTTCTACTTTGCAGTTTAGATTGTCAATCCTCTTCCACCTTGTTTGCCAAAATCAATCTGTTTTATGTTTACCCAACTTTGTATTTTATAAAGCTCCTTGATCCAAACATAAATAAAATCAATGTTCCATTTTCCACTAAAGTGCTTTTGGAGGGTTGCATTTTGCTGCTAATTATTGGTAGCAACAAATAAGGGGAAAAATTTACAGTGGAAAGTGGTAGAGAAGGAACGCAAAAAAAAAAAAAAAAACAACAACAACAACGTTGCCAACCCCTGTACTAGCATGATGACGTTTAACCTCCCTAGAAACCACTGGCTCTGAACAGCTATTGATTTGCTAATTGCTTTCACTTTCAATTCTATTGTTCCTTAAGGTGGTATTTAACCCTTGTGACATTCAGTATTCACTAAAGGAAAATAAATAAATAAATGAATAAATAAATAAAAACACCACATTTTAGTCTCCAAAGACCAGAGTATTAAGTCTTCTGACTGCAGTTAGTCTGCAGTGTAAAACATTATTATTTATGTTTTGTTATGAATGTGTTTAAGTTTTCTTACGTACTTTTCGTCCGCATACTGCATGGAAATAAGGCCTAGTGTCAGCCTCCCATTCCTGATTGGTCAGCTTCAAGCAGATTAAAATTCTATATCTGTAAGTTTGGACGAGGGTTGGGCATCGTCTGAATTTGAACAATTCTGGTTTCAATTCCAATTTCTCATTCCAGTTCTGGCTCCCAACGATTCCCGATTCCGATAGTTTCTAGAAGCAGGCTCAAAAACGTTGAAATGGTTTGAACGAGGCAGCTGCATAAAATTGTCCTTCTAACCAAGTCTTACAATCTTACATCCAACACTTACGATCGCTGCCACATAATGTCCGTTTGTGCACACACTACCAGTGGTGTTTGGATGGCTCGCACATTCTTTTTCATTGGTCTTCATCGGCTCATCTGCAGGGTTTTCTGTCTTGGTTTTGACCAGGTTCTTCTTCCAGTCGACGGACTGGGTATAGAATGGAAATTCCAGGAGAATAGAAACATTAGTCCCCGTTCCATTTGAAACTTGAGACTTGTCCAACTCTAGTTATAACTGTTGAAGACTAGATGGCATCTCAACCTTGACAATACWGAGAATAAAAAAATCTTTAACTTTTCAGCTGAAGTCTCAAAAATTTCCGAATGTTTGTAATAAACAAATTGTTCAAATGCATTTTGAGCAACCAGTTTTTGCAAATTATGATCACGCAATAAGACATATTTAGTCGTAATATAAGAACACACAATGTTATATAACACTTTATTTTCTTTCTTCTTTTTGTCCACTGGACTGAATCCCATTGAGGTAATTTTTACACTCATGAGCATTACCAAAATAAATAAATAAATAAATTAAAAAAGTGTGCTGTCACTGGTCTGATTAGTTCTTCTTTCTGTTCATCACAAGATGATTTGTTTGAAAATCATTTGTGACTTTGTTGACCAAAAACTTCCATTTTTTAAAGCTCAGCTGAACATCAAATCACAATAAAGCAGAAATAATCCATTATTCTTATTTATTTATTTATTTATTCAAACGATAAAATGATAAATATCACAAGAATGATTGGATTCTTGTATTCACATTTTGTTCTAACAAAAAAGCCTTAAATTGTAGTCCGAACTGACTATACTAAAGACTCACATGATTGTTGAGTTTTGACGTTATTTCTTAAAGATACAGGATGATAAATAAAGAACTTGTTTCAGATAAATTACCATGCTAAGCACTGATGCACGTACAAAAGAGGTGATGTCTCCAGATGAAATTAAGATTGATCTTAGAAAAACAATTAATTTAAAGGCTAACCCTAATCAATGGTAACCGTTTAGTACAAGGTTTTTATTAGCCTCTGAGCCATTCATTGCCTGGTCCAGCACATCATTATGTTTGCTGTTTCTCTTGTCTGATCATACTTTCCAGTTAGGTCACATTTGTGATAATTAAATGTGAATTATGGGGCAAAAAAAAAAAGAAAAAAATCAAAAGAAAAAAAAATCCTTGAGGCTTCAAATAAAGACTGAGATAGTCAGCTGTTTGAGGTCACAGTGTGTGTGAGCTTTAATGATTCTTATTATCATTTGAACCCAGTGAGGTAATTTTTACACATGTGAGCTTTACAGAAAAGCATGAACATGAAAGTCTTTTGATCTGTGTCAGCGCCCATACTGATTTCATTTTCTTTTCTTTTTTTTGCCAAATGTCACCAGTCTGATTAGCCTTCTTCTTTATGTTCATCCCAAGCAGTTCATTAAAGATGAATATTTGTTTGAAAACCATTTGTGACTTTGGTGACCAAAAGAACTTGTGAAATGTGTACGTCTCATTTGACTTCTTCCAGCTGCGGGCCCGTGGACACATCAGCAGCTTTAGCTCTGCTCAGGCTGGCAGCGGGTGGAAGCTTAAAAGGAAAGTACAACGTCGGTCTCAGATACAATCCTCTATGATTCTTCCCATGTGGTCCGTGTTATTATGCACGAATCGCACAGTGACCTGACAGCATAACAGCTAAAGTTATCACACACGACCACTTTGAGTTTGTGTGTTTTCTCACTTGAAAGAGGGCACAGGCCTGCTGTTTGGATCTCACTGGCTTGAGAGAGATTAGCTCCAGCTGGTGCACTGGCAAGCTGTCTTTTTTCCATCTTGACACTCCCAACACCACCACTACCCCACCATCCCACACAACAAATAGTACTACCTACTGTACAGGCAAGGGAGTAAGTATTTTTCATTGTATTGGATTTAACTCAGTGAATAATTTATTTCTGCCTGCAAAGACTTTTTTTTTTACTTTGAGTGACGCAGTGAGTTTTAATAAATACATAACATAAAAAAAACAATTTTGTTCATAAAAAGGTAAAATCATTAAGGTGCATCAAGCAAACTAAAAAAAGTTGTAGGGGCAATATCATGTAAAATCAACTTTTTTGGGTTTTATATCATGTTATAATGTTGTCCTGATGCATCTCAGTAATCCAGGTAAAAAATCAAAAAGAAAAAAAATTGTATAGGTCTTCTGGAC